GAGAGAGAGAGAGAGAGAGAGAGAGAGAGAGCGAGCGCTTGTTTACCAGGAAATCCTGTTTACTCCTTAAGGCTGATGGCAAAGAACGATCCGTAAATGCTTAAAACTGTCAGTCAGGCCTGTGTCCACGGCGCTAGAACTTGGTCCAAGTTCTAGTTCCGAGAAATCTGCAGTCAATCAACCTGCAGCTTTTAAAAGCTTTTAAGCTGCACGTTGATTAATTGGCTACAGATTTCTCGGAACTAGACTTTGGATCAAGTTCTAGCATCGTGGACACAGGCCTTTAGGCTCGATTTCACCAAACGTCGCTTAACTTTAATCTGAGTTTAAAGCCTCGTGTCCACGATCCAAAGAACTGTGTCGAAGTTCCAGTTTTGAAAAATGTATAGCCAATCAACTTGCATCTCTTACGGAGAAGCTGCAAGTTGATTGGCTACGCGTTTCTTAGAACTAGAACTTGGACACAGTTCTTGGAACGTGGACACAAGGCTTAATTCGTGTTCGTCTCTTTCCAGAGTAACAGTTGGAAAGAGACAAAGGAACGAAGTAAACCAAGCTCAAAGTTAAACGACGTTGGTGAAAGCGGGCCTTTAGTTTAGTCGTAGACGTAAGGCAAGGCGGAGAAACACGTAAGTCGTACGTCTACAACTAATGCCCGTTTCTACCAATGCAGATTAACTTTAATCTCAGCTTAAATTACTTCTTGTCCTTTTCCAATTCATGAAACTAGAGAAAGATACAAAGCAAGTTGAACCAAGATTAAAGTTAAACTGCGTTGGTAGAAACGGGTATAAGACAGTTTTAAGCATTTACGGATTGTTAACTGCCATCGATCTAAGGGCCTGAGCAGAAAGACTGTCGTAACTGTCTTATGATTCCGTCGTAAGACGTAAGTCGGTGTCGGAAGTAGACGCACAAAGAATTGTCGTATGTCGCCTCGCGACACAATGCGAGGGACGCGACATACGTCTACAATTCTTTGTGCGTTCACTTTCGACACCGACTTAAGTCCTGGCCCAACATTACCTTTGTCGTACGACAGATTTGTCAAGCGTGTCGATTGGCTGCCGAATAAAAACTTCCTATACTATCCTGCGGCCAATCGACACACTTGAAAAATTTGTCGCACGACAAATGTAGTATCAGCCCCTCACGACGGAATCGTAAACGGCCCGACGGCTGTCTTTGGCTGATGGCAGAGAACAATCCATAAACGCTTAAGACTGTCTCAGTCGTAGACGTAGGGCAAGGCAGAGAGAAACGTAAGTCGTATGCAATAGCCTTTCACGACTTACGTTTCTCTCTGCCTTGCCCTACGTTTACGACTGAGACAGTCTTAAGCGTTTATGGATTTACGTTTACGATTGTTCTCTGCCGTCAGCCTTTCTCGAGTCCTAGGTGTTGAAAGATAAAAGAAGTCGGGCGCAGCCGAAACAAGCGAACCCAAGCACGCGGCCGCGCACTCTCGCTCCAGAAAACAAAACGGAACAGTGACCTTTTTTTTGTCAGGAGTGGAGTCATCGGCGATATCGAAAGGTGTAACAAAGAAGGGTAAATGACTCGTCCGTTGCGGCGCAAGATGACTCAATCGAAGCGCGCAGCACGAGCGATACAAAGATGAAACAACCGTGTAATATTGCATTCGAAGAATCGAGACGCGTTTTTCCCCTCGGCGACTCTCGCGAAATGCGCTCGCTGCAGCCCAGTACGGGAGTGCTCGATCTCGAATCGTTCCCCAAAAGAGGTTGAAAGAAAAGACACTACGTGAACGTGCTCCGATATGCGTCGAAAAAGTATCTCGATCACTTTGACGCCACGTAATTGACGGGAAACGGTCACCGGTGTAGAAAGTGCAGTTGAAAAAGGAACATGTACCTCCCGCTGTCGGTTTTAACCGCGTTTTCGGCTCCGCGGGAAGCTCGGGTCGCGTCGCCGCGCCGACAAAGTTAGCCGATTTCTATGAATCGACGTAACGTGCACTCGGCAGGATCGTTGCGTCATTAATCGCTCTCGGAGGCGATCCGAGGTCGGAAGCGCCGAGTATGAAATGTGCTACCGTGAGACGGGATGGATCTAGGGGCGATCGACCCCGGCGAACGTTGAATCGATGTTTCTCTCCCTCTCTCTCTCTCTGTATCGTGTGTCGTGAGATTCAACGATTAACAACGCTCGCGGCCCGCTTCCGCGTCACCGCGAGGCCCGAACGTGCCGTGCACTTGAAACGCGAGAGGCGCGGAGACGAACGCGGGGATCGAAACGAGCGGATGCCCGACGGCGTGCCGGACAATTCCGCGGTGATGCGTTAAACGACGCTGGGGCATGTAATCGCGCCGACCCAGCCGACGATAACTTACCGCTTAGGTGCGTAGATATATGTACACATCGGCCGGAGCCGTGCCCGGGGGCTACCCACCTCGACGAGCACGACGAAACGCCAGCAGGGAGCCCCGAGCCTCGCGTCGGAGCGTGGCATGCAGCGGGCTGGGGACGGTGGCAGACGAGCCGCCGGCGCGGACACGGGCCAGCGGTGCGGTGCGGCCGCCCGAGCGATGCCCAGCCACTGTTGTCAGCGTCGACGTCCCGCACGTTTCTCACTCGGCGCGGTACGCGGCAGTTTCACTACGCCTGTCGGGCGGCACCACACCGACCGCCGACCACACTCGGCCACCGCGAAAGATGCCGCCTCTCGGCCCCGAGTTCGGCAAAGCGCTGCGACGTCCGCCTGGTCGCTCGCTCGCTCGCTCGCTCGTTCAGGCGCGCGCGCGCGCGCGCGTGCGTCGTGTGTTTACTTTGCGCTACTGATCGTCCGATGTTGCGCGCCTAACGCGTGCCCCCATGTGATCCCTTCTCCGGGGTGTACGCCTCTCCGCGATGATCGCGAATCGTCTCGCGCGGTATAGCGCGCCGTCGTCCCGGAGAAACCAACGGCCGACGAGGCACAGCGCGCTCGGTCTCTGTCTCCGCACGAATCGCGCAACGTACGTCCGCGCATCACGCGCGTACAAGGGCCACTGCCGCGCCGACGGCGGCGGCCGCGCCGCCGGCCGCGCCTCGCGGCGCGCGCCCGCACTAACCGCGCGGTCACGGAGTGATCGATAGATAAACGGCGGACCGACTGCGTCAAATTCGTAATATGCCCGTATTGGACCGCGGATTGAGATTCCGATTAGATAGAAATCTGACCAATTAGAGCGAAAGTTACTAAACTTGAGATTAGCAGACTTCACTGTGATTGGTCGAATTTCAATCTAATCCCAATCTCTATCCGTAGTCTGACACGGGCTTAACGCGAATACGTAAAGCATCGATATGTTGTGTATCAGGCGTGCTGCTACGTCAGACGGCTTTGAGAGGGAAAGTGATTGAGGTATTGACGCGCGGTTTTATTTGTCTGAGAATAATAGATTGTCCCTCCTCCCTCCTGCGCAATTTCAGATATGTGTTAAGCCCGTATCAGACTACGGATTGGGATTGGGATTAGATTGAAATTTGACCAATCAGAGTAAAAGTTACTGAACTTGAGATTAGTAGACTTTACTGTGATTGGTTAAATTTCAATCTAATCCCAATCCCAATCCGTAGTCTGATACGGGCTTTAGGCGAGCTGTAGATACATTCGAATGTTTAGGGCCAGTTATTCCAGGGTTGGGAAAGTCACTTTATAAAAGTACCTAGTTACCGTTACAGTTTTTTTTTCGCTAAAAATGTAACTAGTTACAGCTACAAGTTACCAATTCTGCAAAGTAAAGCGGGGAGCGCACACTTTTGCATAAGTGCATAAGCATATGCATAACGAATTTGATTGGTCTATAGGCAAATGCGTAAGGAAATCGACCAATCAAACTCGTTATGCATATGCTTATGCACTTATGCAAAAGTGTGTGCTCCCCGTTTAACGCGTTACAGTTACAGTTACTCAAAAAGTAACGAACCGTTACTTTGCAGTTACTTTCTTGCAATGAAAATAAAAATATCCAATCTGCGTTTTAATTGTTAAGTGTCGATGAAAGCGTTTATGTGCAAATGCAAGATCTAATGCGATCTGTGGAGGTTTAAAAAATATAAACAGCAACTATTAATGTAACTGTTAAATTAGTTACTAGTTATCGAAAAAAATGTAACTGCGTTAAGTTACAGTTGCAGATGGGGAGAAGAACTTGGACCAAGTTCCAGCACATCAGGGCACAGGCCTTGAGAGAGGCGAGTGAGATAGAAAGGGGAGGAAGAGCAGTCTCGGATTTGGCAATGCCGTACGCAGTTATAGACGCGAACGGGCCTAAAAATGGGAATAAAACTTATGTTGAATTTGAATCCTGTTAGATTTCGCGCGTCGCCAACTTCAAACTGTCCCCCACCTCTTCTCCACTCGCCTATACACGTGCTGTACTCTTTGCGTCTACACCCGAGTTGCACCCAAATCCCCCTTCCCGTTTTCGCGCCCCCGCACCCTCTCGCGCGCATCTGTCGCACTGTAAGTGCAGCGAGTGCGCGCGAAGCACGCACTTATTATACTATTTCGTGTTCCTGCGACGATCCCGACCGATGTTCGCCACCCGCGCGTTAAAATCCCGCGTGTCGCTCGTAGCCGCACGCTCCCGCCTGCTCTTCAGGTATCTACATCTCCCCCCCCCCCCGCCACTCGTCGTCGCTGCGTGCGCGGATCCGCGCGCACCTGACAGGAAAGTCGCGCGATCGCTCCCGCTGTCATTCGTCGCGTCATCGCTCCGGGACGCGGATCGATCAACGGAATCGACGGTGCGGCCGTAGCGTTTAGTCGGGCAGCTCTCGCGACGTTCACTCGGCGGACGCACGATACCGTGAAATCGCCGCACGGCCGTTCGGTTGAATTCACGCGCCTCGCTGGACTCTAACCTCAACGGCAGCGTGCGACTCGACCCTCGGCAGTGGCGCTTTTTTTCCTTTTTGTTTACGAGGTAACACGAAATCTTGGTGCGAGACAAAATTCGTTGTCGGTCCGTCCCGTTATGGAGGTATCGTAGAGAAAGAGCGCGCGTTGTTCTCCCCCCCCCCCCCGCCCTCTGCGAAGAGCCCAAGGTCGGCGGTGAGAAAGAGGGAAGCGATAGATTTGAGCGGGCCGCGAGGTCTCGTCGGCGATGACGTCGTTTTGTCAGAACGACGGGAACCCCCTCGCGGAGAGCTGTGACTGCAAGTAAGAACGCCGTCGCTTTGGTAGTCGATCCTTGACCGCGCGCGACCGTATAGCCCGTGCCTGAGAGTTGGTAATGTAAATTGTAACGCTGCCCCCCCCCCCCGGGGCTACGCGCGCCTTTGTCTCTTTTATTTTCTCCACTGCGTCGGTTGTTTGCGAGTCTCTTGCTTTTCCCATCCTTGAATTTCGCAAGAATCGGCCTGTTACGGGAAAGGTGTATGTGAGAGAGAGAGAGAGAGAGATTCTGGGTTTGTTATTTTAAAAGTTGCAAAGGGGAGAAGAAATCGGAGCAAAACCGTCCTCGGCTAGTTTGCACCTGGACATTCCTCACGGCTGACATTTGTTTAGAGTTTTAATTGTAGGAGATGAAAATTTGACGACGCGAGAAAGTTTGGAGTCGTCAAAATAATTTTTCTCATTGGAAATTAACGTTCACTTTTGTTTACTTTTCGATGTAACGTGCAAGATACGCTTGAGCATTGTTGGACACTTTTGCTGTGGTTCGCGAAATTCTTTTCCTTAAAGAAAAGCGCCAGAGTGCGTCCAAGTGGTCCCTCAAGAGTCAGTGATCGTAGATAGAGCAGTTATTTAACAGATTAAGTTTTAGGAACAGCGCATTGGCAATAGTGCGAGTTTAACTTAAATTTTTTTTCCAGCGACGTCTTACGGTTGACTCTCTGTTACTTATCGGCCCTCTTTGTTATCTTGTAAAGTTACAGTTTCCTTTGTTTCGCTTCTTTATGCCACTTGTCCACTCTATATTTATCGTGTGCGTGACTATACTGATAATGGGAAAATGAACGAGAGACAAAGGGCGTTACATTCCTTTATTTTACACCTGCACTACTAAAACGAAAACGGAGACCGAAGGGAAAAAATTGACTTGAATAGAGAGAATATTTTCTCTTGGCAATTTAACAAGATAGAGACTATTGCAATCTATATAATAGTTTGTATTCGTACATTTTCAACATTTTATTTGATATTTGATATTTTATTAATATCTTAATAAACAGTTGAAAACTCCGTGGAAGAAGATTATTGTAAAAATAATTCTTGGAGAGGTACAAGTTTACTTTACTCGGGAACATTTGTTCAACCTTAGTATTTCTTTTGTATTTTCCTTATGTTTAGGAATAATATTTCCGAGCCCGTGACTTTGGCGAGCAACATGTCGACTCATCGATCGAGTTCCCACAAACGTGTGGAAGAGCGATACGACGATATAATAAAATCGCAAAATGACGACCGATTGTACAGAGGTTTAGTGCTTGCTAATAAAATGAAGGTTCTTTTAATAAGTGACTCAACAACGGACAAGAGTGCTGTCGCAATGGACGTTAATATCGGTAATCATGTTATTTCACTATTTTACGTATAGTATTAGAAGTTGTAGAAGTAATTGAAGAAAGATAGACGGCTTTTTCATTAGCCTAATATATTTAATATATTTCATATGTCGGATCTTTGTGACTTCTCCTTGATAACTTTGTGTTTCTGGTGCGAACGTTCGATGTTTTCATTTCTGTTTTCCTCTTCCCAGTCTACTGTTAACACTGTTTATATTTTCTTCTGGGTACATTTGAAAGTACGTTTAAAAGTACATTTGACAGTACGTTATGATAACACAGATAATCAAGGATTAATACGTTTTTATTAATAATTGTCAAATTATCGATTTTAAAGTTCATTTAATTAGAGACGAAATATGTTGCAGGCTATATGTGCGATCCAGACGATCTACCGGGACTAGCACACTTCTGCGAGCATATGTTGTTCTTGGGAACGGAGAAATATCCTCAGCAGAATGATTACACTATGTATTTGTCGCAGAATGGCGGCGGGAGCAACGCAGCTACGTACTCGGATCACACCACCTATTACTTCGATATAACACCGGAGAAGTTGGAAGGCGGTTTAGATCGTTTTTCGCAGTTTTTTAAAGCGCCTCTCTTTACGGAGGCCTTGACCGAACTGGAGCTAAATGCTATAAATTCAGAACATGAGAAAAATGTAGCGAACGACACCTGGCGATGTGATCAAGTGGACAAATCGTCTGCAAGCCCGGATCATCCGTTTTCCAAATTCGGCACCGGCAATAGAGAAACATTAGACACAATACCGAAACAACAGGGCATTAACGTTAGAAATAGGCTACTAGAATTTCATGAAAAGTATTATTCTGCGAATGTTATGTCATTATGTATTCTCGGCAAAGGTATGACGATAATGTACAAATATCTGTTTTAAATTAGAACATTTTAATGTTTTTTTTTTAAATACTTTTACGTCTGAAAATATTTGAATTTCGGGATATGAACCGAGTGATGAACAATGAAGTTATTTCAACGAACAAATTTTCTGTTTAGAGAGTTTGGATGAGCTCGAAAACATGGTATTAGATCTCTTTAGTGAAATAAAAAACAAGGAAATTAATGTTCCAATATGGCCTGAGCATCCATTCAAGGATGAACACTTTCGCACGATATGGTATATTGTTCCGATAAAAGACACAAGAAATTTAGATATTACGTTTCCTTTACCTGACATGCAGAAACATTACCGATCTTCGGTAATATATTTTTCTTTTGACTTTGATACTTTGTCATATACAATTATGTGATATTTTATTTGAAGCTTGTATTTATTCTTTATTTGTTACCATAGCCTGCGAATTACGTTTCCCATTTACTTGGACATGAAGGAGAGGGTTCATTATTATCGGCTTTAAAAGCTAGGAGTTGGTGTAATTCCCTGGTATCTTGGAAACGCCCTAGCAGCCGAGGTTTCGAATTCTTCAGTGTTGTTGTAGATCTAACTGAAGAAGGTATTAAGCATATAGAAGATATTGTTCAACTGATGTTTCAGTATATCAATATGCTCAAGAGAAAAGACCCGATCAAATGGATCTATGATGTAAGTGATGAAATAAAATACGATCTTACGTAGAATGCACGGCAGATTGTAGGATTGCAATTTGCCGGACACTGTACTTTAATATCGTGTATCACATAAAGAGTTTTATGATTTTATATTTGCAGGAATACAAAGATATTGCGAATATAAATTTCCGTTTTAAGGAAAAGTTTCCGCCACGTTGTTACGTGACTTGTATAGTCCAAATGCTACAAGAATATCCCATGAACGATGTTTTGTGCGCGCAAACCGTTTTTCCTGAATGGCGGCCGGACTTGATCGAGGAAATAATGAAATATTTGGTGCCGGAGAATATCAGGATTCATGTGGTCGCAAAAGCATATGAAAATATAGCAGATGAGACCGAAAAGTGGTATGGCACTAAATATAAGAAAGTGAAGATATCCAAGGAAACAATGGACATGTGGAAACACGCTGGTTATAATAATGACCTGAGATTGCCTTCTAAGAATGAATTTATAGCCTCTACATTTGATATCAAGCCACACACTACGGTAATTAAAATTATACTCGTATTATATTTCGTAATATAAATCCTCGAGTACCATTTCGTGATACTTAAAGCCTAATCCTGGCAAAGCTTAAAACCATGTTATAAAATATGACATTGTAATGAATTTATACACCGGTGTTTAAGGATTAATTCATTTAAAATAAAGCTGAAAAAAATTATGTGTACGTGATACAGTAAGAAAGATGTGTCAAAATTTTTAATTTACAATTTCGGTTTCTTTTTGCACATGGAACATTTGCCCTATTGTACCACCAATTTTGCTTTCATTCTGTATTTGCATTATACTACATTGTTATTATACATATTAACAGGTAAAATTTTACAGGTAGAAAAATTCCCTATTATTTTGGAGGATACATCATTGGTAAGACTGTGGTATAAAAAGGACGATGAATTTATTGTACCGAGAGCAAAGATGATCTTTGATTTTGTTAGGTATGCGATAATTGTGTGAGAGGGAGAGATACATTAGCCTAGTTTACGCCGTATTTTGTTCGCGCAATTTGACCTATACTTCGAAAGTAAACTTGCATGGAAACGTTTACACTATTTAAACCTGTAATTTTTGGGTCCAATATGGATAGCTTGAAAATTAAGTCTTCATGTGAATGTTATCTGTCGAGTACCATCTGTTTAATCTTTAGACAACCTGCGTTTACATGTATTACATCGTGCCACCTATATCAGGTCAAGGCAAGCGAAAAGAAGACCTGACCCAAATCGAGTTGTTTATCAACCGTTTATCGACACTCAATCGTGAATAGGTCAAATATGCATGTAGGTAACCACCTAAACGCACTGTGTAAATTAGGCCAATGTGAATCGAAGTAGCGCTATAATCGTTACTTTTATAACAGAAAAGTATATTTCCTTAGAATTATATACAACGTTCGTTTTGTCTTTAATTTCTAGTCCATACGCCTATATGGATCCTCTTAGTTGCAATTTGACTAATATGTTTGTTCAGCTATTTCGTGATTCTCTTAACGAATACGCATATGATGCTGAGCTAGCTGGTTTACAATGGGAACTTAATAATTCGAAATATGGAATAGCAGTAAGTATATGTATACATAATGAGACAGTAACAAACTATTGTATATTAAGTAGGTTTGGGCTATTATACAAATAAATTATTATTCAATTTCTTACTAATTTAGTAACATTTATAACATGCTATTTCATATACATAAAAATTACTTATACAGAAATCAGATTTTATTTTTATCTCTAACTATTGTCATTCGTAGATATGTTCAATTCCATTTTTATAATTATCTAACGTTTTATAAATAATATTTGATCTAATAAGTATTAATTTAATTTTATAAAGAAAGCATTCATAAGAAAGATTAAATTTGTTTTCTTAGCTTGGTATAAGTGGTTACGATGACAAACAACGTGTGTTCCTGGAAAAAATTATGGATCGAATGATAAATTTCAAGATTGATCCAAAGAGATTTGAAATCCTAAAGGAAAATGTATGTATAACAAATGTAATAAATTTCTTTAACTTATTTAAGCAACGCATTTATATTGAATGCCTTTCAGTACATCAGGAACTTGAAAAATTTTGCTGCTGAACAACCTTATCAGCATGCAATGTATTATATTGCAGTCTTGTTGACGGAACAAGCTTGGCTCAAGGATGAATTGTTGGATCATACTCCTTGTAAGTGTAAAGGATAGCTAATATTTTTTGTTAAAAATTATTTTCTTTTTATTTTGAAATTAATTTCGTTGTAGTCCTTGGTAAGATTATGGCACATAATTAAAATTTCTCTGATATATAGATCTAAGTGTTGATAGACTCCAGTACTTCATACGACGTCTTCTCAGTAAACTGCATGTGGAATGTTTGATACATGGTAACGTGACTGTAACGGAAGCTACAGATATACTTAAACTAATTGAGTCTAAGTTGACAACTGGAATACCTCACATAGAATCCTTGGTACAAAAGCAGTTAGTGTTATATCGGGAAATTAAACTAGATCATGGTAAGCGCATTATATAATCAAATTGTACTTATAACCATTTGTAAAATTAATATGCTTAATGAATTTTAATTTATATAAACGGATATACTTTTAATATCAAACAAATTTATTGTTTCTTCTAATGGTCTTATGCTAATATTAGATTCATTGAAGAAGTGAAAAAATATGAAAATAAAAAACTGAAGTTTTAATTCATGTAGAAAACAGATATTTGGAAATATAAGAGAAAATTATTTGTTAGTAATATTATTTGGTCTGCAATAAAATTCATTCCAGAAATTAAATATTAGCTGTTAATGTGATAATATCGTTTATAATTATATGACAGTACGTAACAGTATCGTATAATGATATAATTGCTATAGGTTGCCACTTCCTATTTGAAGCAGAAAATAAATGGCATAAGAGTTCTTGTACAACGGTGTACCATCCAACTGGTTTACAATCAACGGAGACAAATATGCTCTTAGAGCTGTTAGCACAAATTATTGCGGAACCTTGCTTCAATATTTTGAGAACTAAGGAGCAATTAGGCTATATAGTACTTAGCGGTATACGTCGAGCAAGCGGAACGCAAGGTTTGAGAATCGTAGTACAAAGTGACAAACACCCGCAATATGTGGAAAAACGAATCGATTCATTTCTAGATTCTATGTTGGTGAGTATAATAGGTACTTATATGTATGTGAATGTTTTAACATACAGAGGATATTTTGTGATAAATTTTTAACATACAATAATTATGTTAAAACATTCACAATAATATATATTAAAATATTGATTAATACTATACGAGAATGTTTTTAAATTTATCCACAAAATATCCTCTAATATTACGATCATAAATATGTCTCACTCCATTTATAGTGTGATAATTGAAGCTACGTTTCTAAAGTATTGTTGTCACTATAATTACATTTCAGGAACATATATCTACTATGCCAGAAGAGCAATTTGAGGAACACAAGAAAGCTCTGGCTACAATACGTTTGGAGAAACCCAAAATGTTAAGTTCACGGAGCACTTTATATTGGAATGAGATTGTAAGCCAACAATATAACTTCGATCGAGTAAATATTGAAGTAGCTTACTTAAAGACGATAACGCAGGAGCAATTATTTAACTTTTATGAGGTAACTATTTCTGCAAAATATATTAATGCATAATATATTATCCTAACTTAAGAAAAAAAGAAAAGATTTTGTGAAAAACGAATGGGAAATATAGAATAAATTTTTTATATAAATTTTTGTATGAATTTCAAGAAAAATTATTTTAATAGTTGAAAATAATATACTTATAATACCTTCTAGAAAAAAAATTGAGACGGAAAACTTACAGTAAACCCAACTGATTAAATAATTAGCCAGTTGGGTTGACTATAAGTTTCCCGTCTCAATATTTAATCATTGCTGGTGACAATAAGCAAACTCTCCTTTCTTCTAGGAAAATGTACATAATAAAGGTCGACGTAAATTGTCAGTACATGTGATATCCACAACAACGGATAACAATTTACTTGATGACACGTCAAGGAAAATTGCTGACTTATCGATTGATGAAGACGTTAAGAAAATCAATGACATTGTGTCATTTAAAAAGAGTCAACATTTATATCCTCTACTAAAACCATATGAAAAATATTTTCTCACAAAAGGCATACGATCTTCTAAGTTATAAAGACACAATAATATAATAGTGAATCAAATGAACGTATTCATTTATTTGCTCAATTTGGGAAGAATTTTTATTCTAAGTTTACAGAATATGATTAATTATTTATTATTGTTTGTAATTAATATTTTCAAAATTTAGAAGGCATTGGATTTAGAAATTCTTCAATTTATAAATTATGTGGCGCGTTTTATGCATAATTATTAGTCATTTGAGAAAACAACGTATTACTTTATAGGAATTAATGAATGTAACTATTGCACCGGCCAAACGATTTCCGTTTGATCTGTCGACGTACAATTTTAGACAATCGTAAAAAAGAAATTTGAAGAGATGGATCGCCAGTGAATAAAGAACAAATAATAAGGATGACGTCGACAATTAACTGGCACAATATATTTCGTTTAGTAAAAATACAATGTTTCTTCTACCGACTTCACACAATAATGGACGTCTTTCGGAATTTTTATCTACTCCATATGTGCAGAGTGATTCGTTCCTTCATGTATTTTTTTATAGCCACCAATTTTTAATATGTCACCCATTTTTTGCTGTCATACTTAATGGGTTGACTTTTGATGAACGTTTAGCATTTACCCACACAGCACGGGGAACTCCCGGGGAGTTCTTAAAACTGGTCATAAGCTTCACTTGAACTTCAAACGAACTCGCACGGAGCCCCCTGAGAGCTCCTATGTCCGCTTTTGAGAGCTCTCAAAAGCGGACATAGGAGCCCGCGAGGAGCTTCATTTAAGCTCGCAGGGAGTTCAGAAAACATGTTTTAAAAACGCTCTGCGAGCTTAAATAAAGCTCCCAGGGAGCTACGTGCGAGTTAGTTTAAAGTTCAAATAAAGTTTATGAAAAATTTTATTAGCTCCCCAGGATTTCTCCGTGCTGTGTGGGCATAGTCATCAAAAATATATTTAGGTCATTAAAAGTTTATCCATGATCCAGATAACTCGCTGTCGGATTATATCGGCTCGTCTCTTATACTAATATGGAAGGATTTTCTTACGAGAAAGACTAAAGTGCGGTCGCCAATCGAATTTTGTAAGCTTCCCGGGAGCTCAGCGAAATGAACTCCCTGGAAGCTTGTTTTGTCGAATTTTGTAAGCTTCCCAGGAGCTCAGCGAAATGAACTCCCTGGAATTTTGTTTTGTCGAATTTTATAAGCTCTTTGGAAGCTCAGCGAAATGAACTTCCTAGGAGCTTAATCGGAGCTTTGTGCTGTGTGAGATACTGATTAAATATTATTTTTAGACTTGTAAAATTTATCGTTACTTAACAATTTTAATGTGAATTAAGCATGATTTAATGTAATATTACAAATTTATAAATTAAATATTAAGTACATGTCTCTCAAATTGTATTTTTTTTCACAGAATCCTCTCATAAGTTTGTCTAATAGACATTGCATATTGTATATGAAGATATAAACATAAATAAAGTACATACATTTTTATTCTAATACAATATAGATAATTTATATAAATAACACTTATAAATTCTATCTCTTCATTTTATATATATCTCCCTTATTCACAATCATTTTTACTATCCTGATAATTTTCATTTATTCTACTTAATTTTTTTATCCATTCTGCACACCGTTTATATAAAAAAAAATAGAATTTGTACTATGAAATTAATTGAACAGAAGAAGTGAAGCACGCCGCGTAACGAGAAAACCAATCGGCATTTCGGAAAAGAGACCTCAACACGAAGTGTATAACATCTCTTTTTTTTAAGGGAGAGTAATCGTAGCCACATACATATGTCGGTTTCCAAAATTTAACGAAACAAAAGCCATACGTTACGTCTCACGGATAGGAAAATTTATTTGACAACATATTAATTAAACCGTTTTGAATCGCCCGATCCAGCGTTATCGTATCGTGGTAAAATATTTAGTTGACGTAACGAGAATTCGTTAAAAAACGATGAATAAACCCAAACAAGATAAGGAAAGCGACATGGTGAGCGTGTAACATTGGCTAAAAGATTACAAGTTGTAGTAAAACGTCACAAAAATGTCATATGTGAATTGATTTGAACGCCAATCTGTATTAAAAATTAAATATTACGTATCAATATTATTTTATTTCTTATATAGAATGAAGAAGATAAGAGATTGCAGGAAGAATTGCTACAAGCGGTCGATGTATTGCAGGTAAATCAATTTCGACAATTTTATCATATATTCGTTTTGAGAAAAAAAAAGAATGGAAAAGTAAGTTATTAAAGAATAAATTAAAAATTCATCGACTCTTATTTTTGATAATTAAAGACTACCATCTTTCTTAGAAGGAAATTGGATTGTGCTATATTATTATCAGGGTAAAGATGAGACAGCTGTGGTGTTGTCGTTGAACCACCTGAGGATGCTGATACGTACATCCACAACTTCGATGACGTCTGTTCCAAAACCTCTCAAGTATTTGAGAAATTTTTATCCGAGCTTGAGGAGCGCATACAGAAAGCTCAAGCGGGAAGAGGCAAAGATACGTTTTGCCGAAATCCTGAGTATACTCGCTCTTGCTGGAGCTACTCCAGGATCCAGGGACTGTCTGGATTTCTGCATCAAAGGGGCCGTTGATAATCCCGGGGAATGGGGCCATGAATATGTGCGGCAACTTGAGGCAGAGATTGTTGATGAATGGACGAACGCGCCGATCAAGGAAGAGCATAAGATTAGGTGAAGTATATTATTTTAAAAGATTACTAACAGCTATATGTGTCTAAATGGTTTATGATGTGACAATCTGTGATGAGAATTTACCCAGCGAGAAATGACTCGTCGATCGATCGATGTCGAAACGATGTCGAATCATTTCTCACTGGATAGATAACGGTTTGATTTACATATTTCTAATGCTCAGCCTCATATGTATTTGCACTGCAATCGAGAGGTAATAAGAACAATATGATAAAAGCAATAAAATAACAGCGTATCTCTTGTACTAGAAAGCGTCTTACATCGTTGATCAAGAGTATCATCGCGTTCGACATGAGGCACAACGCAGAAATACAAGCGTGCGATTTATGCTTGGAAATCGACGAGTTGAATTTCCTCGCAGAATATCTGGAACCCACAAACTTTATACGAGTGTGCCATTATTTAATTAGCTGCGCAGGTTACAGGTAATACAACTGGACACTATTAGAAGTAATACTTGTTTTAGTTTTTATAATAACGGCTAATTTAATTGTTTTTAAAGATAAATTGCCCCGCGCAAATTAAAATATAAATCTATTTATAGATAAAACATACGATTAAAATAGAAATACAATTCTTATTTTGTAATTTAGTTTCTACAGTATAATTTTTAAGTAGTAAAACACGTTAAAAAATATGCTGTACTATTCAATAAGCGTCGTAATCCAACTTACTCATTTGTGTTTGCATCGCTGATTTATTTGTTAAACTATTCCTATGCATAATCTTCAGCGAGGATATGGAGAGAAGACAAATATTAGAATTTGCCACGGAGCAATATCTGAAGTTTAACGAGTGTACGAGGGCACTATTCGTAGCGCTGCAACTTGCAAATTCAGAACTTGTTTTCAAATGCTTCACCGCTTGTCACGACCCTTTGACGAGGAATCAATTAGCCTTTATCCTCGCCCGTTTGCAAGTAACTCTTTGCATAATATCTGCATAGCATTTGGTTATTTCATAAAAGAGAGAGAAACAGAACAGCTCGTAAAGATCAAAGTTAAAAACGATTAAAAGTGTCATACACTAATTTTGCAAGTCTACAAAAATATGTAGATGTATCTATAAACAATAATAACTCAATTTCCATTTGCAGAAAATAATTCAAATTAAGTAGCAAACGACAGTTACACAAATTCTATTTATGACGTCTCTTAATACAATCGTGGCTGCATCTTTTAATTGCTCTTTATACGAATTTAATGTAATAGTCGAAATAAAAAAATTAATTAGACATATTTAGCATAATTACAAGATTAATTTTTTATTTTGTGTATTAGAAGAAATTCAAGCAACTATACAAAATAAATTCATAATAAAATATTATCCTGCTTTCTAAATAGGATCAACCCCTGAGGACAGAGTATCATGGGAATGACGTTAAGGATATCGAGGCGATCCTCAGCAATGGCCACGTGAACACCCATTTCCAAATTCTTGCTAGAGAGCTTGATATACTCGAGCCGAAGCTCCCGGAGGATATCTACAAGAGCTGGTTAGTGAACGGGTTTAAGCAAGTGGAGCACGATTCGGCTAGGGCAAATTTAGCAGCGAGCTTCGTTTCTGGTTTCGTGCACGCGGGTTTTGGCCAAGACAAGCTAATGGCGAACACATCCGATTGTTGGGTGTACAAAAACAAGGTTCAGTTTTTCTCTAAATAATCTCTGCGAAGAATATCTTAATTTGCATCAGTTAACTTTTACAATTACGATATTATATAATTGCATAGTTAACTTCCTATGCGCCTAATGGCAGAGATAAATAATTATCTAATAATTTATATTAAAAAATTGAGATATGTATTTGAATACTAAATATATATCTTTTGATTAGTCAAGATTATTTATTAATCAACAGAGCATTTAAAAATTATATGAGAAAAATACCGTAAGTAATAATATGCGGTCTTACTTTTTCAGGAACATGGAATGTTATCAGCTACCGCCTCTCTGGGCCTGATACATATGTGGGATGTTGATGGCGGATTAATTCCTATCGACAAGTTAGTATAAGTTCCAAGCAGGAAGATAAAAAATTACCGCGAATTTAATACTATTTTTTCGAAATATTACTTTGAGAAAGGAAGATATAACAAGACAATGATAAGAGACCGAGGAAAATCTGTGACTGATCTTGCTTGTTATATAACGGCTCTGTTTTCCACGTAGATATCTTTACACGAACGAAGATTACGTGAAATCTGGCGCTCTACTAGCGATCGGACTGGTGAATTGCGGAATTCGTAATGAATGTGATCCAGCTTTGGCGCTTCTCAGCGAGTACGTAAAATCGAACAGCCAGATTCTTCGCATTGGAGCCATCATGGGGTTGGGTTTGGCTTACGCTGGTTCCAGAAGGAAAGATGTCACCGAGCTTCTTTCTGGAGCTTTAACCGATGAGCAAAGTAGGTAACATAAATATTAGAGTATCTAGATTTATATTATAAATTTATATAAATTTAATTTTTTAGTCCAATAAGTTTGTCTCAAAATGAAAAAATATAAGAGATTAGCTCTTCTTTAATAATAGGAAAAATTAGAGGCTAACAAATTGAACATAATTTTTTTAATCTTTTAAATTGTACGATTTCTTCTTTACAACATATTATTATTTTATACTTCGGTGACTTCAATTAAAATTCTTTGCTTAAAAGGAGATGAAAATAATTAGTTACCATATCCAGCTACGAATTTTTTCAGATAATATACAAGTGTTGTCGCTGATTGCCATCTCCTTGGGCCTTATAAATGTAGGCTCGGGGGACTCCGATGTATCTTCGGCTATTCTGATGAAATTACTGGGACTGTCTATGAAGGAACTCGTTGTCACGCATTCAAGGTATAATTATGTAAAATATTATTATACTATTAAGAAAGTATACGCATACATAATACAAATGCATGTGATATATATATATATATAGAAATTATTTTCTTCACGCAGATTTTTAGCGTTAGCCTTAGGAATGATTTATATGGGAACCCGGGATGCCGTAGAAACACTATCCGTAGCGCTTGAAGCTCTGCCGGAACCGTACAGCTTTGCTTCGCAAACTATGTTACAAGTAAAATTAAATTGCTATCATTTTCTCAAAAGTAATTTCGTGAAACGTTTCACATAATTCAAACAGCAAAAGCTGTTAGATTCGTATAATTTTCACTTGATAAAAGCGATTCTGTTAGATTTGCGCATATGCGGGTACTGGCGACGTTTTGATAGTGCAAGAATTATTAAGAATCTGCTCGGAAGCTATCGAAGAAGTGACGAGCGCGAAAACGACACCCGAGAGTACCTCGATACCAAGTTGCTGCGATCAAAGGAGACCACAGAGCAGCTCTACCAAGCTAGAAAAAAATATAAAAAACGACAAGCAAACCGAGGAATCTGCCAAGTAAGTGTTTGACTGGTAAAAGTGAAAATATTAAATGATATATTAATAAATATTAATAGAACATAAATTAATAAACTCAGTATGTAGATATCAGTTTGAGAAAAAATCAATTTTGTTGTTGGATATGTTTCCGCATGTTTTATGCTAAATAACTAATTTATGACAAAAAATAATGCTGTATTAATTACAGGGATATTGGAACACCGCAGGCTATAGCATCCCTCGGAGTAGGTGTAGTTGGACTTGGAGAAGGAAAGGAAAACTCGAGAATCTTCGGTCAGGTCAGGAGATAAGTCCGTTCAAGTCTTCAATAAGCCGTAATGAATATTTATGAGATGTTCCTATCTAGAGCCAGAAGGAGACAAAGAAATATTTAAATTTCCATTCGTCTTTATTAACATTTATGGGCTCTTCTATAGTTCATTCATAACTGCTTAAGAGGCATACAGCTTAAGAGACTCACGATTTCATTCTCTTTATGGCATAGAAGTATGAGCGGAGGATCATTTAAAAGTGTAGTCGACTCCTAACTAATATTTATTATGGGAACCGCTCGTCGTGATCTCCCCGATCCTTCAGTGTTATTACGATGTTAAATGTAGATCGGAAGATATGGTTCAACGCCAGCACGACGTGCCATGCCCCTCGCGTTGGCCTTATCTTCGCTGTCGAACGCCGATCCAGCGGTCTTGGACGTGTTAAACAAGTACAGCCACGATCACGACGCCGATGTCGCTCTGAATGCGATCTTAGCCCTCGGCCTGGTAGGCGCTGGCACCAATAATGCACGATTAGCGACGATGTTGAGACAGTTGGCGGCTTACCACGCCAAGAATCCATCTCACCTGTTCCTCGTGCGCATCTCTCAGGGTTTAGTACACCTGGGCAAGGTAAAAACCTTACAAATAGAGTAGATTTGATAAAGACGTTTGCTATTAGATAGTTAATAAACGAACAGATGATAATAATATCGATGAAGTAACAATTTGCTCTCTGACAAATCAGCTCACCTGTCTTTAATGCAGAGCAAACACTTATTTAATCGTTCTTTCCTAGGTGCATCTTTAAATATTGTTTTTTTCCTTTCAGGGCACTTTATCCCTATCACCTTTGCGGTACGCTTCAAAAGTTTTAGACTACACTGCCTTAGCTGGTCTGATGGTCGTCCTAGTTGCGTGTTTAGATTGCAGGAATCTTATATTATCTCAGTCTCACTATTTAATGTATTGCTTGGCGATTGCGATGGAGCCAAGGTGGCTAGTCACTGTAGATGAAAATCTTAAGGTGTACAAGAAAATTATCCAAATCAGCTATAAGATCTTGTAATCAATTGTAAAGTATATATTCTAGGCTTAAAAATAATCTTCTTCCAATACTTTGCAGAATTTGCCGGTGTCAGTGAGAATTGGTCAAAGCGTGGATGTTGTAGGGAAAGCAGGTAATCCGAAATCCATTGTTGGTGGTCAAGTTCAAACCACACCAGTGTTGCTCGGCGCGGGCGAAAAGGCGGAATTAGTGTCGGACCAATACGAGCCACTCTCCAGTGTGCTGGAGGGCTTCGTGATCCTTCGTGAGAAAGTAATTCCGTGTTAATCTTATAACGCTTCTATTTATAATTTAACCGAGAGTTTTTTACAGCAGACTGCAGCGAGTTAGAAAGCTCTGCGTTTGATGTTCTGCAGTAGTGCTTTTGAATTGCCTTTCGCTTTAGAACGACGCCAGCCAACGATACCGCGAGCAAACGGGAATCGAGACTTTTTCCTGCAGATCTACATAAAACAGATAAGGGAATGGAAAGACTTGTAAGGTCTGTGTTGAGCAATACAAACAGTTCGATCATTAATGCAATAGTGGCAGCATGTCGTTAGTTTTTTCGCATGTTTTGCATTTATTTAACTTTAGGGACTAGCGGAAGCAATGTGCTCTATACAACAGAAACATACATTGGTTCGCATTGCACAGTGGGAGCAATAACGTTACGCCATGATCAAAAGTGCCGGTTGTATACAAAATGAAAATAGAACCCGACGTGAAACTTATTTATGAAAATAAAACAAAAAGGAATTACACAAATGCGATTTACGGGAGTAAAATATATCTGTAAGAAAAAAAAAGAAAGAGATGTTACAGCGGTATCGACATCAAACGACACCAAAGTAACGAAATAATCGGTTAGTGATCATGGAGCATGTCGGATTTTCTTTGTGACGAAGCTTAACCAAGGCAACACAAAGATTCCAAAAACGCTAAATCGTCGCAAAGGATCGTCGCTTTGAAAGGATCTGAGTGTGTTGCCTCAGTAGGAATTATAAGTCTCACACAAAGCGTATGTAGGAGACACTTTGTAAGACTAAAACCTTATATACAATGTACTCTTTGCATCTAGAAACATTTTGTAGCCAATAAATACGTTTAACAAATTTGTGCAAGTTGATAAAATGTACATTATACATCGTACAATCGTACATTATCGACAAATTATTTAAGCGTTTTGATTTGCTTATATAAAATAGAAATGTCTCTGGATACAAAAGCACATTGTAGATTAGGCTTAACGATTCCTCTCTTCTTCACATAAAATATCCCACGACATTCATTTGTTAGGCACATGACTTAAGGTAAGGGGGCGAAATGTGTGGATAATAAAACGCAGCTGATTTGATAAAATGTCGCACGCGCGTCGATAGCAAAGTAGTTCGGTGACTTCGTTCGAACGAAGCGTGCCAATCTTATTGCACGCATGCATATCCAAATACGTAGTAAAGTCATCTAGATATAATAATCATACGGCGTAACAATCGAAACTTCGATACGTCGTGTTTCTCACCTATATATGAAAATTCAACTTTATTCGCTTCGCATAAATCAGCTCTATTCAATGGACGCGTATACGTCCGGTATTACCTCAACTGCTTTAACTATTACTTTGAAATCTTTTAATTCTGTGCAGGACCTAATTTAAGGGTGGAGGATGATTGCTGCGGTAAATGCTTCGTAAAATTAAAATTTTCGCTTAATTAGTAATAATCGCTGATGAAATCATCATGTACTCTAAGAGCAACATGAAACAACTTTTGAAATATAATGAAATGCGCGATAAGAATGGTTTATGCATTTTGCATGAAATAAATTTCTTTCTCGAGTTTAAAATGGTACAAATTTCAGATAGAAAACTTTAAGAATCGCTACTCGTTCCAAATAGGTAAATATGAATACGAGATTAAAAAATTTTCAAAATTGGTCTCTTGTGCCACTTCCAAAATTTTACGAAAATTGCTATGAATAGAATGTGACATAAGTCCATATATGGCTAAAATGTAATAAAACATCTCCATGTTATTGTTAGATCCACCACAACTATAAATTTGGTCCTGATGTTTTTATTTATACTCTAATGTAGAGTGATTAAGTGATTATAGAAGTCTATCGCAATCCGCACCGCAGAGCGTTTCTTTAGTTAATACATCACGGATAATTAAAAGGATAAAGACAAATTGATATTTTTTCTCACACAAGGACGTCGCATTTGCGCGCAAGCTACTTTATAAATTAATCCTCGTCGCAGAGTAAGTTAAAAAGTGACAAGTCACACGCAAATCGTCCAATTAATCAGTGCAATCGCACCATTCAGCAAGCTGGGCTCACCTACTCCTAACTCATGTTGCACATAGTAAAATATAATAATAATATTAATAGTAGTTAAAAATTAATAATGATAAATCCTACATAATAGCGTTTTTTTCTTGCGTTATAATCTTCCACAAAGTTAATATGTATGTATGCAATTTAGCGAATACGCGGTTATGTACTTTGAAACTTTCCTAGCTGCTCCCTCACGCCGCTTTTTCGATTTCTCGATTAATTTCTTATTTACAATAGCAAATTGTATTAAGAGTTTTAATCGCAATCTCTTCTATTTGATTATCGCCTCTCCTACATTAATATCAACTGTCATTGCGTATTCGTCAACGTGTATGAGTGAAACCAAGTCACGGTAGAGCTCCGACAGACGGAACTCGGAAACGACTACGTCACTAAACAGATCGGGTCATAGATAAAGCTGCCTGTGGATTCGTTGCTGCGAGAAAAAAATTGACGACAAGTGGCAGTGCTTCCGCGTCATTACATTGTGTGTTGTGTGCGTATGCGTCTGCGTCGCGCGCGCGCGCTCCAGTCTTATAGGACTTTCATTTTTGCGAGCACACGCCGGCCGGCAGATATTCGCAATGGTTGTCGAACACATTTTTTTCTCCGCGATGCATCTACCCACGCAGTAGGAATGTACGGTCCGTACCGCAGTAACGCAATCGCGACACGATGCGATGTGTAGTAAAGCAAAATGTGTGGCGTGAATTAAAAGAGACGGGCACGTCTTTTGATTTCATTGCGACGCCACTGTGGCAGTCTGTAGAATTCCGCTCGGGAGCATTGTAGGACAGCTTCAAATTCCGCATCGGAGAGGTGTCGCTGAAAAAAAAGAAGAGGTTGAATTGTTTTCACATTATTGTAATCACGATTATTGTATTAAATATTAATTAAATGTCAAATAACGCGATAAAAAGCGACAACGGAGAATACGTTATTATACTTAATAATCATAAAAAAGTAATTATACGATAGCACTAACGAGCGTAATAAATTACGCAGCTAGAACTCACCTCGAGATTGCAACGATCCACGTCAGCTGGCAGCCTGTAGTTGGTGATAACGAGTAAATGGTAGGGATAAAGCTTGGGTGGTTCGGTTGGCGCAGCCCCCATGTCCGGCAGCGATCTCCTTACATGATGACCTCCGTGGGTTCCAACAACCGAACCTAGGCCACCCGTATACGTGGTGGACGATGGAAGGATTCCACCATCATTCTGTACCACAATCACACAAAATCGTGAGCCATACCAGCGGAAACAGAGGCGAATAGTAGTAGACAATGACATGGGCGATGCGAGAAAGATGTAAGGGGTGGCATTCTTCGAATCGTCAGAGAGGCAAAACGAATTTCAATGAGGAAAGATTCATATTCAAATAAGATCCTTATAAAGTAACTCGATTTTATATATTGAAAGTAAGTTAGGTGCTCGTAAAATGCAACGAGATCTTTCCAGATGTACATATTTGAATTAAAAATTTCGGCGTCATGCACCCCCTAAGAATATTGTCCACGCCTTAAATAGTAAATACATTCATTACACATTACAAAATATTATACTCTCCCTGCATAATAATAGAATAATTAACTTGTTTTATATGTTATATATGTACGAATTCGTATGACTCAATAGACTGTGTCGATATCGATTAATCAATGTCCAATCACTAAAAGTATGTAGATTAGGATTCAATTCTTTAAATATTTTGGAGTACACTGACTTAATTAAACTAGACTGAAGAAATCATCTTACGTGCAAAGAGTTGAATTTCTTTTCAAAATTTACGCAATATATACAATTCTTTATTTCTATTAACGATGCTATCTACTATAATCTTTAAAGTGCACGAATAATGTTTATACCATACATGCAATTCTTATAATTGAAAAATAATTTTGCATAAAGAAAACATTTTTCTACACTGAACAAAGGTGCTATTGATGACGAAATGTATAATATTGAATAATCCATCTTCACAAAAGGTGACGTCATTTTGTATTACATTAAAGATAACGAATTAAATTGCTGATGTGATAATTCAGTGCGTTATCGAAAGTATTAAACGAATTATTCAAAGTTACGTGAAAAAGATTCAATTATTTTCGATTTTTAAAACGAAAATTTTCACAAAATAAATTTTATTATATTAAAACGCAAAAAACAAAAGAACACATTTTGGCCATAAAGCTAAGTAGTGCAAATTGGATTTAAATAATTCGATTAATTAATTAACTTAACTTAATTACAAGATGGAGAAACTTACGATAATCGAATATGCAACACAGAGCAAATCAAAAGTAAATACAGATGATAAAAATGCAGAACTCAAAATAACAGCAAAATATACAGCATGCATGCATACTCATTATACAGCATTATATACAGAGTATTTTACATCGTAATAAGGACAAGTAGCAAATCAAGAAATAATTATACAAAAAATATGTATAAATATAATGCATATACACATCGTAAATTTTTCAAACGTACGAACTGTACTGTCTTGTTTCTCTAGACGAATGTGTGCAGTTAATGCAACACATCTGCAATTATAGAGACGTGCTAGAATGTTAAATAAAATTACATTTGCATAAACTCCATTTATTAGATAATCAAATTGAATACCACATATAACGAAGAAAAAAATATTTGATGAATTTTTCTGCCTTGAAAATTCAAGAAAGAAATTATTTATTCTTCAACAAATCAAAACTTATTTAATAATTTATAAAATTCACAATGTTTGTATGTTTCTAAACAATCTGTTATAATTTACATTAAAATAAGTTTGAAATTAATACAAAAAGAAATGTATTTAAAATGTAATTAGGCTAGAATTGTTCTGATAAACGGAGTTCTATTGTGATGCAAAAACAAGCTACAAACCATGCTAATTCGCCGGGAGTAGTATGGGGCTGTGGTACATACCAATGCCCGTCGATCCACATCCGTGATGCTGCCTGTTGATACTAAAATTGGGGAAAAATGTGAAAGAAAACCATATCAAACCATGTTGCACAAACCATTTCCTATGCTAACTACAATCTGTTCTTTTTTACCAATCATGTTCCCTCTTCATTACCTGCATATATCACAATTTATGCATTAAAAAATGCGCAGAGCAGCGCAAACGCGGCTATTTAATTACAAATAGACGAGGCAATGCTAGAGGCATGATGGTTTTATAATTCAATACGTCTAATGCGAAAAGATTCCGCAAAAACCTTATTAAAAAAATGTCTTTTTCGTCAATGAAATCGACTAAAACTTTGCCACTTTATACTTCAACTGATCAAAAGTTACCATTGTTACAAGTAAATTTTATGGGCCATTTTTTTTGTTCTAAAAAGGACTAAAAGTTCGATTGTAATGCCTATAACACTGATCGATATGTCAGATGTGGATTGAGTTTCTCGAATCATTTTCCATAGACTTTTGCCACTGATTCCGAATCCGGCGGTAAAAGTTCTATCACATCTGGTTTTTGAAAAAACTCAATCCGCATCTGACACGTTGATCAGTGTTATAGGCACTATTATCGAACTTTTGAGTCCTTTAAAACAAAAACGGCTCACAGGATTGAAGTATCAAATGGCAGTTTCAGCCAATTTCCCCGAAAGACCTTTTCCATAGGGTCTGTGCGAGGTCCTTTCCGAATTTATAGGATTGTCTAAAATTTGTAAGAATATGTCGGCTAAAGACTTTAATGTTCGCGTTATATATAATTTTTTTTTACTTAAGGGATCGAGAAATATAATAGTATAATTACAATTGCTGATCAAATGCAGAAAATACGTATTGACATCTCTACTTAACATTTCTGACACTTTCTTTGACGTTTCCTGAAAGTATGATTTATCTTATCGCTTTAGGCATTTATAGATGATTCTGAATCTTATAGTTTGTGATCAAACAAATGTCACTATGGTCACTATCATTAAACAGATAATGTTATGTATGACGATGTACAGGCCAACGTACGACGTACAATGTTTCACAGTGACAGTGCGATAGCTCGCAGGGATGTTAGTAAAGCATGCGAGTACAAGGCAAAACGAAGTAGTGTTTAAAGAAAATGATAAAGTAGGAGCGCGACGCATTCGCAAAAATCGCCAGCAGTCCCATCACAAATTACGCGTGATGGGATAACGTGTGAATGCAAAATGTCTCGGGAATCGTGCGTCTTTTTCGTAACGTAAAGGCCTCGTTGTAAAAATTATCGAAAGAGCAATATCTGAGCCATAAACGATTGGTAATTATATAGATCTTGATAAATTAAATTTCAGTTTACTTAAAGCAAACTTTATCGGAATATTAATTTCAAATTAGAGCCCAAGACATTTAAAAATAAAAAATAAAATTTCCGTTAACAGAAAGAAATCGACTCCAGAGACCGGAACTATTAAGTTCTGTTTGTCAGAGGTGTCGAAATGTCTTAGAACAACTCTGTGAATGTAATCTTAGCTCGGTAGAAGCCAATGGAAGCCCTCGCTCGATTCACGACAGAATTGCACAGATAACGGGTGCTGTATCCGTTTAATTTGCGAGCGCGTCAAGCTCGGGAAGCGTGATGTAAACAGGTGAGAGAGCCAACGTGTATGCAATGGGGACCGTGGCATCGGTTGGTCCCTCTTCGTTTTTACTCACTGTCCGACTTGCCAGACGAGAAATCAGTGCTGTGCGTCTTGTCGCCCATCCCGCTGAACGAATAGTCGCCCTAGACGACAGAAAAGCGTTATCTTAGAGAGGCGTGTTCCGCTCGGCCGCCGCGGAGTCAACTTTAAATGTATACTCTCTTCTATGTACGTAATTTATTGCACTATCAGCGCGGTGCACGCCGCATCGCCGACTGTGACTTGCGGTGCAAGACTTACAGGGAGAGCAGACACGGAACCGCCGGTCGAGGAGAAGGTGTGACTTCGCGGTGCCAGACCGTACCCCGGCTTCGGGATGTGCCGAAGGGAGCTCACAACTGGTTTGCAAATCAGTCAATCGACAGGTGTTACTGATTAGTTTCAGCGGTGATTTCAATTCGCTCAATCTCCCATACGAATGCCCAACGTTCGCTTGCCAGATTTTCTTTTTGTACCCGTTAACTCTACCCGGAGCCATGTCGCTCCCTCATGTGTCCCAACCCAAGATCAGCCACTGTCAAGGGATTTCCCCCTATCTTTGCGCCTCAACAATGATACATTTAGCACTTTGCGTTTTACCATGTTTCTATATTACGGAACCGGGCCAATTTGAGAAAAAAAAAGATATCCATCGATACACACGCGATATAACTCTCTTATGGATTGCTTCGTTTTCCTATTTTTATATTTTATACACATAATTATCTCTTATGCAATTAGCAACTGAAATAAAATTTACATCTTTAGTAAATATCTGAAATAACTGGAAAAGGCACGTATTAATCGTTAAACATATTCTACAGAGTCTAATTTTCTTCAACTTCATCGCGTGTCACAAGGGATATCTATCATAAGAATTTCAAATATATTATCGCACCCCCATCGGTAAACGGCGCTTAAAGATATCCGACAGTCTTGAGTGCACAAAAGCGTTTACTCTTGTTAAGAGTGTGCGAGGCAATACGCGATAAAAAAAACAGATACATAAAAGGCCAGCACCTGCGTGTAAGTACAATAGATTCCTCTCATAAGCGCGCCCGCCGTGATGACAAGTCAAAAACTTTCCTTTCTTACTGAAAACGCAGACAGAAACTTAAACGTGACTTTCAAAAAACGAAACGAAACGTAATGCATTTATCATATTATGTTGTCGCATTATTTTACGATAAATGGGATGCATCTGCTATCATAGATGTAGCTGAACCACTCTTGCGTTATCAGAAATCTCAAATTAATGATGATCGTTGTTTCAACGTCGTGACGCCATAATAAACTACATAAATTCTTATTTCTTCATCGGCAAATACATTTTACATGCCTAATTTACACGTGCAGTTTTCAATCGCGTAAAAATAATCGGGTGATATTGTGAAAACACTGAAACTTTCCAGAATATGTATAAAAAGAAAAAGAAAAAAAAAACACCTGAAAACTTGGTAAGTCGGGAAGCTCAAATGTGGAACTTAGAAATGGACTTGGTTTGACTTGGGACCAACGGCGGGCGAATTGGAAAGTTTTCGGACTCACCGAGTGATAGTGCCTAGTGGCGTTTGGAAGAGTGAAGGCGCGCTGAGTACCAAGGGGTGGATAGTTTCTGGGAGCCGGGGAGCGCGCCGATGACCTCCCAACTGCCGCCCACGCAAACACAACACAAACACAAAAACACAAATAGAGACACAATGATAATAGACGACAGGTAGTAGCATCGTGTGTAGAGATTGCCGTGTCCTATTAAGTCTAGAACGCCAACTTGAGGTTATCAGCGATTATTTCGTTAGACTGATAGATTTCTTCGTAATTTTTACAAACGGAAACACAGTCAAGAAGAAAATTTTCGCTATTTTGAACACTTGTAACGTAATTCTTGAAAGTTGTAATAATTTAGCCATTGGTTGTTTCATTAAATCTTCTTATAACATTCAGCAATTCATAATAGTGATCTTTGATCGTCTGTTTCAATGTCGTTACGCTTTGCTTCCTAATTATACAACTTTTTAGTATTGCACGAGAATTGGATTACAATGAGTTCACAAACATTCCAGATTAGCGTTCTAAAATTAACTTGGTAATCCAACATTGGAAGATACCGTGAAGCAAAATTCTGTATATTTGTCGAAAAGCAAAGATGTGCGGTGCAGAAAAGAAATAATTATCATGCGTAATAAAACAAAACGATCGTGTTGCTAAATTATCTTCCAATATTGTAAGTAAGATTTACAAAAGTATCTAAAAGTATCTAACTTTTCATTAAAAAAAGTATTTTAATGTTAAACATTTTCATTAACAATTTAGTTGTAAATTATCCAAGTTCAATCAGAAATCAAACAATAGATCTTGAACTACATTTATTGTCTTTAATAAGTTAAAAGATAAAATAGTATGATAAAATAAATAATATGATTCGCCCATTGCATTTTATATAAGTAATATAAATTTTAGAAACAGTTATTTATAATAAATGTCCATACATCCTATATTATTTTTTATTGAACTGTGTTTAAAATTAAATACGTGATTACGGTAGCGATTCAAATCTACTGAAGCATACAGAAAAGAGAAGAAAAATAATTGATTCCTCAATCGAGTTGGAGTTCAGTTTAAATTCTATTTAAAAACACGGTAGTGCCGCGGAAATGAGCGTGATGTGCATTGGAGCAATATGTGTCCGTGTATGATGAATTCGTGGTCCCAAGTACCATGCAAGATACAGAACAGAATCAATTACCTCGAGAAACGATTTCCAGGGCTAAAGATTGCAATGGCGATTTAAATGCTCGTTATTTCGAGGTGTCGGTTGATGCGCCGTTCGCAGTTCAATGAGAAAAAAAAAAAATAAGGCAAGCATATCGAGGTAAGGGACGACAACATGCATAGGCAGAATACATCACCTGTTGTATTAATTGGGCGTCCAGTGTATGGTTTTTTTGGTGCTACACACGCCACTTAAAATAAAGTCCTGCTCTCGAGCGTTACGTACTGTTATCATCGTTTGTTAATTAGCATGAAACCCTCCCACATCATGGTTCGCATGGGCCGATTCGGTGCTCCACGAAGCAAACGTTTCTTTTCTTTTTATCGATAAAATAGGACCATTTACGACCTCCCGCCCTGGGAAACCCCATTCTATCTAGACTCACTCAGTGTTCTATCGATGTTACTTTAAACGGTAGAGTGGTATGTTAGTGTCATGTGCGAACGTGTGGACATGTATGAGATGATCGTTACTTATGTTAATGAGACAATTACGAGTGGCCAGTTTGCGTGGCGGACGAAGGACTTACCGTTGTAGCTAGGCCCGCTGGATCTGTAGCTGAAGCCATCGTCATCCTCCCAAGGTCGTGCATGATCGATATTTCGCGAAGGCGCTGCAAAATGTTGGTCGAATTACCTTCTGCATAAATATGAAGCGTGACGCTGTTCGTAGGCTTTCAAATTCAAGTCTAAGAACAATACGTTCTCCTTGAAATATTGAATGGAACTTGATTGAAACAAGTTAAACAATTAAAAATCTTTATATCGTGACACCAAATGTACAAAATTAATAATGTAACTTACATGCACCGACGGGACTTTCGTAGCGCAATCGGTACGTTGGTTCCCTGGCGGCAGACGGTGTCCTCGAAGCGTTTCTCGGATCAACGTTCGCAGCTCTGTGTCTCAAATTCTCCCGATCTTTTTCGCGATCTTGCAGGAATACCTTAGCTATTCCCGTGTCGATCTTGCTCAATTCGTCCTGCTCCTTTTTCAGTTTCTGCTCCGCCTCCTTGATATACGTTTTGTTATCCACATCATCCTCGTCGTCAGATGCAGGTACTCCCTGTATTAGAAGCAAGCATCGAAACGTTAATTAATTATTGATGATCAGCATCGTTAAAAAATTAATAGGGAAAAAATGTGACATGCTATTTCGATTAAACGACAAGATAATACCTTGTATGTGTCGGACCATCGTCTACGTCTTTCAGGATCAGTGTAAGGATATGGCGGAGCGGGGAAATCATCTCTCTCGATTGGCGGTTGGGCGCCCGGCGGTGGTTTCATGGCGTCCGGATAATGCGCTAATTCTATCGGCTCTTCGTTATCCACCTGACTTGCCGGCGATTTCGGTCTGGTATCGCTCAGTGCATCGACCAAAGCTCTCATTCCTGATCTACTGCTGCGCCCACCGCTGCTTCTTATCGAACGAGATGCTGTGCAACGAAACAAACGCATTTTCGTGACAGTAACTGACGAACGTATAGAAATTGATGGATCAAACGAATATAAAATTAAAACGAAATGTATCTCTTTGCAATATTTCGTGAAAATTAATATTTTATAATTCAGAAACCAAATGGATCGAAGTTCCCTTGCTCTTGACGTTCAAAATATTAAAAGGATGGTGACATTTAATTGCAGAGTTGCACGGTCTTGTCTTATAATTACATACATTCTAGTAACATCTAATAATTAAATTGAGTATATATAATATGTACGTATAACAAAAACTTACAGCTAGGTCTATGGAAATGCGGGCTAGTGGGGGGTTTATCGTACGGCTGTATCGGACGTCGCAGATATCCCTGACTGGGCGTTTCAGTCAAGTATGAGTAAGTATAAATCCTAGATACATCTTCCGCCGGTCGTCCGTATTCTCGCAGAATCAGGCCGGGGCTTCCAGTTCGCGCAGGATAATACTGAGGCAATCAATGTATCGTATCACGCATGTGGTACAGCTTGCGTTTTACAAATATATCTCGATATTACCATCAGTTATACAAAGTGCGTAGAAGAAATCAGATAAATAAAATTTCCCTTAAAATAATTTGACTTTGCATTTGAAACACGTTTCGTTTAAAAGGAATTGATAGTCTTACGTTTGTACTCGAAGTGTCGACGTACTTTGTGTAAAAGAAAAATATCGCGCGAGGCAACTAACACTCTGTCAAGAGACGGCTTTTGTATTAAGTATAATACATATCTGAGAATTTCCGAAATAACTTCTTAAAACCTACAAAAATTTTTTTTTGGTTTATATTTACATATAAAATAACAGAAAATCGCTAATGCAAATGATTGATAACGCGATTAGATTTCTAATTTAGTTTTGCTAATAAAAATTGTATCTTGGACCAGCTAACGAAAGTATAAAAGCTATCCAGACCCACGGACAATGCTTCGACGGTTTTTATTCTTCTGTCTTGCGGATCGATAAAATTGAAATAGGATCGCGTCTCGACAGAGCGAAAGTACGCGACGCCGAGTAGAGGTAATGCGAGAAGTGATACCAGAAATACTTGTTGAGAGAGTGCTGTGCTAAGTGACACATGGCATACCTTGCGACTGAGGCTGCTGTAAGGGCTGCACAGCGATCCGTTCAGGCTTGGCGTGCGTGACCGCAATGAAAACTATACATAATGACCGTGCGAAAAAAAAGTAAACAACGATTAAGAGAAGCAATAATAAAAAACTTAATAAAAAATCAAATATGATAAATATAATCTTTTATGTTTCGCTTGTTTCCTACGAGGCGTGCGTGAGACAAAAAGACGGTAAAATGACAAGCCAGCTGATCTCAGAGGCAAAAATCAAGCTATACACAAAGCTGACAAAATAATTAATTTCTCTGGGGGGCGGGGGGGAGAGGGTTGAGGTGTTCTGCTCTATATTGCTACTATACAGAATATTATACTAACACATAACACACAAGAATGTATGTTGAATGACAAAGTGTATCGTAGAAGAGTTTGCAAGACTTGAAACATAAAGGGACGTTTTTAACATAGATAGTATATTACAATAATAGAAATCATAGAATAAACTTTCAAGGAATTGTTTAGCACGTGCGAAACACTTCGCTCTCCTTATAATATAAGTGGTAAATTCATTATGCAGACGAGTACAACTCAAAATATATATAATGCAGCTAAGTCAAATAATGCGAGTGCTAGACACAAATACAGCAGCATGCATTTTTGTATTTTCTAATGTAAAACGGAAATTATAATTGTTAACAAATACTCAAAACAAAAACAATATTGTGTCAACTATTGAATCATACGACGTCGAACTCTCGACTATCTTATTAAGAATTTGATATATTTATGGATTGCATCAATTTACTACGATTCTCTAATTAAATAAGTTTAAGTATTCTTCTAATTCAAGTTGTTCTTACAACAATAGATATTAAATGATTAACTAGGAGCAATGACATTTGAAAAATGCTAGTTCTACCTCCTCTGGATCAGGAAGGAATCAAAATTAGACACTCACGATGTATTATTTTAGAACTCCGGAACGCGATGCTATTTCCATTCACTGTTTCAGATATGTGAGTGTCGCTTCAACGACATAATATATTTCCGTCACTGAATGTACTAAAGAATATATCATCAGGGCTTGAAATATTATTTTATTTAAATTATCTACTATTTAAACTAAACTTGACCCCTGAAGCTCCCTCAAACGCAGTGTTCTTAGTGATTCATGTAAAATTGAGCATTAAAGAGAGTATACTTGTTTAGAAATTAGAATGATCTGCATATACGCAATATTGTATACGCGTATTAAATGGCGCAAATAATTATACTAATGTAAATTAATTTTTATGTTAGTCCATAAAATGGAATTGCATTCATTGGTACGTTACATTAATTTCATGTAAACTACAAGAATTGCTGTAAAATTGCACAAAATATAAGCGTCGCGTACAGCAATCTGTGTTCACAATAAGCGAGTGTTAAACGTATAAAATATAAAAAATATATGAAGTAAAACAGAATGTCATCTTTCTGTTAATTCGATAATGAACAATCGTGTACAAAAATATCCAAACAATTAGACATATCTGGATGCTACAATCGCTTCAGAATTTTCGTAGTTAAATCAAGGGAAAATAAATAAGCTTCTAATAAGCTTGAATTAATTATAAAACACGAATGTACAGAATAAATACGTCTAGACAGCGAATCACCGATTGCGCGACGCAACCGGACTTACCTGCATCTCCGAGGCGCTGCTGGAAATTCGCTCCGATTCCCGATGCTGCGGGGTGTGAGCGTCCCCGTGTCCGTTCACGATGCCATTGGGCCCGGTGGGTCCTGGGCCGCAGCGTGGGTGCCATATGGCGGCACCCTGCAGGTACATTTCCTCCCCGTCGCCGAACGGGTCGCCGCATTTCGTGCAGCGCGCGCAGGTCGGATGGAAATGATGATTATCGCCGGCTTGCAAAACCTTGCCGCTGATGTAACGGTTGCAATAGGCGCACTTCACTCCAAACTGCTTCTGATAATCCTTCTCGCAGTAAGGCACGCCGTCTCTGTCGAAAACAAAACAATTTAAGCTACTGCTTGCGTGTCACTTGAATCAGTATCTTCCTTCATTCGCTCTTGTGCTGATTTTAAGTTAAAATAAAGGGGAGAATTTTAAAGACACATTTATTAAAGTATATACATTTTATGCCTGTTTTTAAGGCATATATACTTATTTCTTTGAGAGCTTTATCTTTGGGCTTTTCCAATACTATTGAGAAGTTGGACTGTTCAATCTCACAAGGAAGCTGTCTCACTTTTAGAGTAATGTTAATTAGTATCCGTGGATGTTAAAGATGCGAGGACAGACTTGTGGATCAACGCGAGACTCACTTTCCCATGTATTCCCCATGAAGCACGGTGTCGCAGCTGTGACACTTGAAGCACCAGACGTGCCATTGACGATCGAGCGCGACCAATGCCTGACCTTCCCTCAATTGATTTCCACAACCGGCACAGGCACCAGGATCGGCGTGTCCGCCGCCTTTGGTACCGGCGCTATTGCTGATCGGCGTGGAGGCCTCGCGAACCGGGATACCGACGCATCGATGACACAGCGCTTGACCTGTGGACAATACGTAGTTAGCGAAGAGCAATAAGATCCGGCGTCGGGATTCCGTCATTATTAACCTTTGGCGCTGCGTACCAATTGTGCATTCTATAATAAAATTTGTCATCCCATTTCCCTTACCACACCCCTTACACTCGAGAGAAATTGATTCAAGATCGCTCCATTTTATTATATCGACTGAGTTATAAACATCCGCTAACCTGTCGCTTTATTAACAACAATACTTAAAATACTGATATATGTTTCGGAAAAATATGGACCGTGTTCGAATTGTGCTAGAAGCTGTGATAAAAAATGAAATTTTCTCTATTAAATTATTTCCTCTTTCATTGACATTCTCTTTAAATGGCAACGAGTGAAATTCACTTTCATCTTAACGATTTTTCGACGAAGCACTAGATGTGAAGTTCACCGTAATCTATCGTAACGTTCAATCGGCCTTAATTTCTTGGAAATGGGTGACATGCACCGTTACAGTGCCACGATAAAGTGATGCACGTCATGCCGGATTTTTACCTTTGGTCGCGTAATTGTTACAAGGACGTACATAGTAGACGCGCGGCCTTGTAACGGTGAAGCAACAGCGATATGCCCAAGTGGCAATTTGCTTTAACAGATTGACCGGCCGCTAATTGTGAAAGCTGCACCAAAGAGACACAGTGGTTGCGCAATAACTCGATATCAACATCGCAATGTACAATTGACCCAAACGTTTGACTATGCGAATTAGCGAGTCTTCAGTCGGTCTTCACGTTTAAGAAACGCCGCGTCAGGTCGAAGAGCAGCACGCGCCGAACAAAGATGCCGAGGATCGGATGCCGTCACAATTTAGCCTTCAACGGAGCTGAGAGTGACTGTTCCGTACCTTGAACGAGGGACACCTTGGTTCCTTGTCCCAGCAACGGTTGCCGGCATCTTTGGCAATGGAAACAATTCGGGTGGAACGCGTGCTTCTCGCCGGCTGTCACCACATCGCCCTCCACGTACTCCCCGCAACCGGCGCACCGTGTGCCCCAGCGCTCCCGATAATCCTGATAAGCAAAAATAAAACGCATTGAATTTTTCGTTCTCCCATTCCTGTTCTGTGGTTTATTGCATTTCAAAGGCATGCCGAGAAAAAGAGAACGTAGATATGCGTGAATTATGCTTTCGTGTCGAATAGAACAGAATATCGACTGATCTCTTTCGCAAGGTCGTATCTCGATTTTGCGCAATTTTCGGTTTTTCTGCCTAAACGCGCATTCTGGTCCAGAATTGACCTTGCGAGAGGAATCAGTCGATACTTCGAAATACTTTCGAGTCGAGTCGAATCGAATCTGTTTATATTCGAATTCGAATCGATTTTTTTTTCGAGTTCATTATGTTAATTTGAAGATGAAACCGTAAACTTGATAATTTTTTTCAATGACATTGTTTATTTTAAAAGTAATTTCATTATTACATTTATTGGAGGAAAAAGTGACCGATTCGAAGTGATTCGCACATCTCTAACAATAAGAGGAAGAGTAAGAAAGCGACTCACCTTGGTGCAGTAGTAGGAACCCTCACGTGCGAAGAAGCCACCCTGCGCCAAACTGGCGTTGCACTGGGCACACTTGAAGCAGCCTATATGAAAGTATTTGTCCTGCACCCGCAGAACCTCCCCGCTGCACTTCTTCTTACAAGACTGACAAAACGTTTTACCTGAAACAAGACGGCGTTCGTCAATTGAGAAGCACTTCCTTCGCGGATCATTGGCTTTCTATTTCACTACTCGACAATAATCCGAGAAACAGACGCGAATGACACCGTAATTGATCCGCGGGCGTTCATGCGCAACAAAATCCCTGCTGTTTTACGATAAAATAATAGTCTCGCAGCAAACGTTTCGTGTTTCAACGGTCGTTTTTCTCTATAATACTCATAAATATTTAATTAGGATTATTACAACGCGCTTCTGGCGTTCTACTAGCTAAGGTGACAAGGTAAAGAATTCAGGAAAATTATTTATTGTGGGATATATTTCACAAAGACGAAGGATGAGTAACTAACACTTAATCCTCTACTGATCTACTCCGATATCTTCATTCTGTATGCACAGTGATATTCAAAAGTTGTAGGAATTAAATTGCTGTTATTTTGTAAAGCAGCGCCGAAATTTGTTAAAACGCTCGTAAAGAATACACGCCGTTTAACATAACATTTTGAATAATGTACATATATTATTGCCAGGGTTGGGCAGTAACTCGTTACTTGTAACGGAGTTACAGTTATTTTTTTGGTAACTGTAACTTAATTTTGTTACTTTTTCTCCATCTGTAACTGTAACTTAACTCAGTTACATTTCTTTCGATAACTAGTAACCAATTTAATATATAGTTACATTAATAGTTATTTTATATCTATTTTAAACCTCCACAGATCTTATTAGGCCTTTCAAATGCAGATTTGATATTTTTATTTTCATCGCAAAAAAAGAAACTGCAAAGTAGCGATTCGTTACTACGCGTTACTTTTCAGAATTGGTAAGTTGTGACTGTAACTATAGTTATATTTTTAGCGAAAAAAAAACTGTAACTGTAACTAGATACTTTTATAAAGTAACTTGCCAACCCTGTCAAATATATACATATATTAACTATAACTTAGATGCAGTTGTAAAACATGTAACGCACAATTATCTAAAGATAAACGCGATCAAACTTATAGAATATTAACTTGGAATCAAAATAATTATTTATCAATCACCGTAACTGGTTATATTTTTAGCGAAAAAACTGTAACTGTAACTAGATTCTTATAAAGTAACTCTCCAAACCCTGATTATTACTACATAAAAGATATTATATTCTTATTTAATTATATTTCACGAATTTTATTATTAACTTTATAATAACGAAAATTCTACCGATACGGCGCGACGTGTGAATATTCGCCGGGCCAGCAACGCGTTAAACAAAACAATTGTTAACGGCGTAAAATTTTTTCCGCGGGGCACAAGCTAAGAATAACGGGAAGAAGACACCCGAGTATGAGTCATGCACCTGCGTGCTGATCATTAGAGATTTCTTCGAGCGCGCGCGCGCTTACGTCAACGGCGACACTCGCGTGCTCACGCTCGCTCTCTAATCGGCTCTCCTCGGTGCGTACGTTAACTTTCAGCGGTTACGTAATGCACCTGTCGCCGGCTGAAAGGGTGCATCATAATGCTCGCCTTCAGGAAGATCAGACCGCGCGTCTAATGGCGTTCTCCATTGAGACGATTTGGATGAAGTCCAGAATAATCGGATGCTTAACGAATCGATGTCCGGATCTGACAGCGAGTTAGCTTCGATCGCCAAATTGGCAGATTAGGGAACGATTTACTTACAACTCTTAATGGTAAATCATTTCAAGAGGGAAATTCTAATATTAAAACGCCGAGGCTATAATAGTTTTCGAATGAGAAGCGTTTTAGAGATGATCGATCGAATTGTTATGCGTTAATTTTCATTCAATAACCATCAAGTATTTATACATCGTGCATTTATTATATTTTATATAAATACGTTTGATATATGTGCACATTAAATGAAAACGCCTACACGGAGAGAATTTTCTCTTACAATTTACAGTAAAAATCATGTAATTGTGGGACAACACGGCATTTCAAAGAATTTTATGCAAGTTTTTTTGAAATTTTATCATACACGGAGATACCGATATGGTTACCACATGTCTAATTATGGTTGGCACAACCCCAATAAATAGTGATATTTGGGACAGCTATATCTGTGGTTGTACCTACATTGGCAAGATAAGTAGTGGAGACAACTATATGCGTTTTGTGCAGCAAACTTAAGGATGTTCACTAAGTTTGCTGCACAAAACGCATATAGTTGCCTCCACTACTTATCATACCAACATGACAACCACAGATATAGCTGTCCCAAATATTACTATTTACTGGGGTTGTGCCAGCCCTAATTAGACATGTGGTCCACCATATCGGTCTCTCCGTGTACATTTACGAGTAAAGTGTACGGTTAAATTTCAAAAACTCATTAAGTTCTTCAAAATGCCACGTTGTCCCACGATTATCTGATTATCAAGATAAATTTTGAGAGAAAATTCTCTGCGTGTAAAAAGCAAACTTGTCCGAATACGCGAAAGTCTGTTTCCGCGGTGTATCCCTTCCGAATGGACGTTACAATTCTTCGCCTCCTTCTTTTTTTTTACATATCAACCGAAGAGACTCATTTTTGCACCTTTATGTGCACGTATTTGTCATTACCCAGTGGATTAGGTTTGTAACGCGCACCGCGATTTGTACGTGTCGCGAATTAATATCGCGATCTATCGAGACGGGGCACGAAACACGAGCATGGGCACGTGTTTTGTCACAAATATTCATGTACGTACGAACAAACGCGGATGCATTATTCATCAGCCGTCCGATTCCGAACAGAACTTTAATCGCGCCCGCATTTAACACGTCCCCTTCATTACATTACACTATTCTTCGTTACTTCATTACGTGAATAACGACCGTCTCGACCGGGCGCGAGCGGCATAATTATTATTATTATTTCGCCCGGCGACGCGAATCGCTCTCGCTTCCGTCATCCCGTGCGCGCATCGCGGAAGTTCGTGTGTCGTAAAGTCTAATCTACAATGTGCTCTCCGCGTCTAGAAACATTCTATTTTGTTACTGTATTCTCATCCTGTACTTTCGATGATCTCATTGTAGTTTTACTGAGGAAGACCCGAAGGGCTTATGCCATTAAAGAAAAATTTTTGATTCTATTTTGTGAGAACCGAGTTCCGTTCATTTTGTGGCTCATAAATACCATAAGTTTGGAAACACTTTATAAAAGTGTGTAATATGAAAGAAATACTTAACAAAATCGATGTATTTTGCTTTGCAAGTGTTTATTTAACTGAAAAAACTAAAATGAAGATACATGCGTACATACGACAAGCTTTTAATAAAGATTTAAATTAAATTTTAGATTCCTCAAAGTAACTTTTGTTTTAATGACTGCCTCGCATACTCGCGGTATGCGATGGATTAACTTTTGCAGAGATTCAGTCGGGATACGTTTCTATTCTATCTAAAGGATCTCCCAGAAATGCACTTTACTCGTAATTCGCTCTTTGCGAATCCTCCTGTCCAATTAATCCCACAATAGTTCGATTGGATTACAATCTGGGGACTGGGCGGGCCATTCCATATTTTGCAGAATTTTAGAATATATATCGTTTTTTACACGACTTATGACATATTTATACCAAGCATGTGCACAGATCGCTGCCGTGCCACTATTTATCTGTAAAATATAGGGTGTTTCCAAACTTATGGAGGGTACTGTGCGTTTAAAAAAATTTGTGCAAGTTGACAAATTGTATATTGTACAATCGTACATTGTCGACAAATTTTCTAAGCGTTCTGATTTGTTCATACAAAATAAAATGTTTCCGGATACAGAAAACACATTGTAGATTAGGCTTAAGAGTAATTGGGAAGAAAAGAAATCGCGCGACTCCCGACGAGCGGATGAATGAAAACTCGTGCTGGGGAACAAGTGTATACCCTGTTCGGTCGTTCGGACCGAGCGACTCGGTTATGCGACAAGGCGCGATGAATGTGACGCCTTTATTGAGTTATCGGTTGTTTTGAACACGATAAATTATGGCGTATCTGTAGTGCCGTTACGCGCGTGGCCGGATCGCAATGAAACGTCAGGCTGGGGGGTGTGCGTTTCCCTCGTGACGCGCACGCAGTCGATATTTAGAGAGGCAGAACTAATAATCCACCTCCGTTTTGCGCTCGCCGCATCGAATCCGGTCCTGTTCCGCGCGAGAATCGCACGCTCGTCTCGGCCTGACGATGATGTGTGCGAGTGGAAGAAAACAAAAAAAAAGACGTACGCGGGAAGAGAGCTAACACGTGTTTCCATTCGGTCCCGTTGGCGCGAAACGGAATTTTTCATTCCGCGAATGTAGAGAGTGCGACGAGCTAATTGCCCGTCAGCCGCGAATTCCGACGGCGGATGTCGGACGCGGTCGATTTTTATCTGCGGAGAAGTCGAGGGACAACTATTTCCGGCGGAGTAATTAACGGAGGGGAAAAGTTTCGAACGTTGGAGAATTGAGTCTCGAATTTAAAAAAAAAACACAAAAAGCAAAACTGTAAACGTCAGCTTCGGATAATATCGATTAGATAGTGAGAAATGATTCGTCGATCGATGTCGAAACGTCGACGTTTATTCGACAACGATCGACGGAGTCATTTCTCGCTGGGATGCTTCAATAGAAAGTGAAAATTTGACTTGCTAATTAATTTGACTGACTCCGAAGCCCGGTTTTTCCTTTTCTGGTTAACTGTTAACCAGAGGTTAGTCGACTCTCCATCTTTTGCTATGTTATTCTATCTTTTTCTATCTATTATTATCTAAGACGAGACAGGTAGTCGACTAACATCTGGTTAACATTCAACCAGAAAATGGAAAAACCGGGCCTGAGAAAGAATTTCTCTCGAGTTCCCGAGGATCTCTGATGCTTCGTGTTACCTTTGAACTCACCTGACGCGTTTCGCGAATGCCGGAAGTGTTTGTACGCATCCGGCGTAAATCGCGAGAGAAATGTGCCGCCTCGCGCGAACAATTCTAACGCGGCGAGAATTCCGTGCGAATTCAACGAAAACGAAAGCAAATGTCGGCGCC